AACAAATACGAATATCTTTTATAAGCTAAAACATCAGGTAAAAATATTAAAACTTCCTCCATAAAGGAAGTTCATTTAGAAGCAAACATAAATATGTAATAATCACCTAGTCAAAATGGTAAATGTTTAATTCTATTTCTAATATCATAAAATCTTAGATAGAGCACATTGGCCTTAAATTGAAATATCCAAGAAAATCTTGTAGCATAAGAATAACAAAAGGAACATTCTGCCGGATCGGTTACTATCGGGTTTGAGAATTCAATTCCGCAATCCTATCCATTAGGTGCGAGTTCGTACATATTTAACTCATGAATATTTTTTAAAATCAAATACTCAATTAAATAGGGTCGGGCCGGTCGGGTTATGCGGGTTCGGGTTGTTCTTGTGCAGCCCTACCAATGTTAGGCCATGTACCCCAATAAGTATTTATATCCGTATTAAAAAACCATTCAATCCGAAAAACATCTTTATATTCATATTTATATTTTATTTATTTAAATTTGAATCCAAATTTCAAATTCAAACCGTGAATCAATTCAAAATTGTCTATTCATTTACAACAATAATTCTATCTTATACACGGGTAAACAAATGTGACATGCAAGCTAAAGAAAATTGGGCCTGCTACTAATTCCTAACGAGTTTGTATTTGACTAATTTAATAAAAAAAAATAGAGAATAAACATTTGAAGAATCAAGACAAGATGAAAATGCAATATGGGATAAAATGGATGTAATCCATAAATTTTCTTTGGATGAGATAAGGCCATAAATGTAGGTTTCCTGGTCCAACACTATACATCGCGACACATCATCCTCAAATAAAATCTTGTGCAGTCAAGAACTCCAAATGATCCTTCAATTCTAATTCTATCACGGAGGAAAAGCAGTTCCTTTTCCGCTTGTTTATTATTCCCCTCTGTATTCCTATCACTATTGTTTTCCTTTGCTGCTCGCAGCAGATTTTGTTGAGCTCCCGAGTGGACATAAATGGCGCTAATTGCCACTAATTTCTTGTTAATAGCATAAACCAGTCAGTTGGTACTCACCCCGCTAACCTGCTTCGCCGCTACCGACGGCGAAGTTTCCATCTTTTTTTTTTTATCGTTGGATTTAACAAGAAGCTCACAGCTTTTTCTGGAAGAAATGATGTGGGATGATTGGGATGACGATGTACGACTTGGAGAAGAAAACGGCCACGATGCTCGGCACCAGGAAGGATCACGCCGGCGAGACGATGAAGAGGAACACGACGATTCCTCTCACATTAACTTTGATTTATCATCTCTCATTTCTAATCCGAAGGTATCATTTTCGCTTTCCGTTCTCAAGGAATGTGTTCTTGATTGTGGATTTCTCCGCCTGCCGCCTGCTTTTAGGGTTTATAGGGAATTTACTAATCCCCGTTCCAACTTTTTAATTTGGTGTGGTACACCATTTTCTAAACGACATTAGTTTCAATGGAAGTTAACTTTCTTTGGTTGAAATCTGACTTTCTTTAATGGAGGTAGTATTATTATCAGGAAGATATTATTTTCCTTCACTGAAGTTGAAAAAGAAAAAAAAAACTTCTTTACACATGTGATCACTTTGCAAATTATCCATACTTTCTCCCTATCCTTAATATCTTATCGACTAGGTTTTAAGGGCAAGGTGCTTAATCGGGCTCTTGTTTAAATTTAAAATTTATAAGACTCATACTCCGGGGTCATTCGGAAAAGTCTCTTTGTACAGGGGTAAGACTGTACAAGGGGTAAGACTGCGTACATCTGACCCCGTTACCCCACCGTAGGTGGGAGCCTTTGGGGCACTTGGGTGATGATAATGATAAGACTCATACTCCTGTAGCCTCTTGTATATAATGTTGGCTTCTTGGAGTTCATAAAATTAGAAGTTTTCCTCACATGAATATTGGATAACAATAATGATACAAATACTTGTTGATATTATCATCTTCAACTTTTATGGCCCATTTGGCAGCATTTATCTGGTTTTTGTGCCTCTCAGGAGAATAAGTATATTATGACTCACTATTTGGCCAAAATTGATTTAACATTTTAACCTAACACTTTTTCTTTTCGGAAATTCAGCCAGTCAACCTAAAACTTGCCAAATGGGCTCTATAAGTTTGTGTACTGTTAAAATAATTTGACTTGTGTTATATGGCGATGTTGATAGGATTATTATCAGATACTGGAAGTGGACTATGATGCTACGGAGGAGGCTATTCGGTCCAACTTTATCCGTCTAGCTCTGGTTTGTATTTTTGCTCCACCCATCCATTTTTTATTTAGTGAGTTTTCACTCTGCAAGTATGGTTGAGCTTATTCAGCAATTATCTCAATTCTCCCTTTCTTTTTCTTGTTTATTGTATAGAAATGGCATCCGGATAAGGTAAAAGATGAGGATAATGCCACCTCAAAATTTCAAGCGATAAACGAAGCTTATCAAGGTTAATCCTCTTCTTCTACTCGCTGACCACTATACTTCTTACATTATTACAGGTGGCAAGTTTCTATCCGTTATTAATCTAGATTTGTTGCCTACTACCACTCTACCAGCTAGATATTATATATTGCATTTGTCTAGCATGGATAGGACTAGTTATTGAGAATGAAATTCATCGCCGTGGAGATAATTTATTCTTTCAAAATTGTAACTTTAGGGTGCTAAGTGCATAAATACAATACTCTGAAGTCTGAACAATCGGGAGTGAGCACATAATATCCACAACTTTCATTTTTGAAACAAATATTCTGCATTCATAGTCATGACTCGTGAGATCACTTATATAGTATAAAATAGAATTCATGATATTTATCCCGCACATGCAAGATTAGGGTTTTGAGTTAACCCTAGTACGTTTGCGGCACTGGGGTAATGATGATGATGATGATGACATTGTATAACATCAATTTTGTCAATGTAAGAAGGTCCGGTTATGAGGATGAATTAATTCATGATGTATTGATTTTCCAAGAGTGTGATTACTGGACAAACCAGTTATATTTTCTATCAAGCATTAATGACAACAATGTGATGATGATACTAAATACAACAACAATAACAATAATAATAATAATTATAATAATAAAATGAATTTGAGATCAGTTCTGTATGTCTCTACTCTCTAGTACATCAATTTCAGATCAGTCCCATTAACAATAATTTGAACTATTAAGAGTTCCTGCATTCTTAAACCGAGCAAGCTTTTATAGACCTTCCTTGATATTGATACCCGAGCTTAATTCCTGCAAATTAATGAGATGGGTAGGACCATTGAATTGAATTTGAAAACATAAGAATGATCATTGTATTTAAATTGATCTGAATATCAAGTAATCAACAACTAAAGTATATATAATTTCAGAAAGTTTTATGGATGAGAATGTCTTTTCCATGTTTGGCAAACCCTTGTCTTACCCCATTACAGAAGTTGATTATTTTAAGCATGTATCTAAATTCATAGTTAAAACTTTATGATTTGTGGCTGGGTTTGTCCAAAACTATTGACATGCCCTGTTTTTCTTTTTTACAGTTATTAATGCTTGCTCAATACATGAGCACTTTCATGTAGATGACACTCTTCATATTAGTGCTCAACAACAAGTCAACAACAATAACAATTATAATAATAACACCAAGTATTTTACTGTCCATGTAACTCTCTCTATATGTCTCTGAATACTTGTTTATTCTAAAAAGTAAAACTCTAAATAGCTAAGTCCCTACGTTAATTGTATTGCAGTTTCTAATTGGATGGGTTACATTAATGAGCGTAGCTCCCCACATAAAGGCCCCTTTTTGCCAACTCCATAGCGTTCCATCTTTGAATTTGCTTTTCACATAACCCTTACCTGCCCCTAGCTAGGTTAATTCTGTTACCACATGATCTACACTTGCATCCTCCTATATTGAGTTGTCAGTTGTCACTATACTCTCTCTAGTACTTTACAAAGTTACAGATTCTATCTATAATGTAAAAGGGCTATGAATGTGTGATGGCGATTGTTTGTGTGGAAGATTCTAATTATTGGCAATTCACTTTGTTACTGATATATTTAATTAATGATGGTGCAACAGTTTTGATCGATCCAGAAAAACGCCAGGAATATGATAAAAAGGGGATGCTCTGTGCCTATGACCACAACATAATGGTAATATATGGCCTCCTCTTTCTTTCTTTATTTTGTTTTATGAATGTGTAAGGTAAGAAAACACCAAAGCATGTTATGATAGATAACTCATAGAATCTTTGGTTGTGATGATTGAAGGATTATCTAAACCGTAACAAGGGACTTATTTTGACGTGCAACGGTCTTGGCATGAAGAACTCGATATTGTAAAAAACCAACAAAAGATTCATGGGAGATGCTTGCCAGCAGCAATGAATCCTCCTTTTTTAGGGAGTACATCTCTACCACCATAGCCGTTTTCTTTTTGTATGTAGTATCGTATGTGACTATGTTAATCTACTAATACCCCCACCCGACCCACTATATGATCGGTGTATATGCGAGGCTTGTCTGCATAAGTTCTTTCACTTCTGGTAGAACAAATGTCTTGAAGCCCGATACCCTCCTCCCGCTGTTGTTTTCATCTGCCTATGCTGCTGCATGGAAAAGGAAATGCAAGAAACAGTAAGCATGCCACAGGGTAGTGTAATCCTTTTCTGGATTATTTTTTGAATGCGTTTCCTAGAGGTTTATGAAATAATGCCTCCCAAGAGTTTATGTGCATTACTTTCCTCCATAAATAAACAGCAAGTCCTAAGTTACAAGCTATGTACCATGAGGATACTACTCCGAGAATCACGTGCACGTAAACTATTGATTTATTATGTGAAGATTTTAGGCACAGCCACACAAGTGTCATGTTGGTATAGTAGAATGATGTACTGATGTGTGCTTGTATTTGGGATGTTGGTTCAATTCTCGCTGGAATAATTCCTTTATAAATAAAATCGTGCTGGCTTGTTGCACCATAGTTTCATGCTGTTAACTTATGTGTTTTATACTGTGTTTTTGTATGGTTATCAATTAATTTTACTCTGTTATCATGTTATGAATGTTTGCCACTCAAAAGTTAACCACTTTTAGTGTTTGGTCAAAGACTTTTAGGAAAATATTTTAATGCGTCATTGTGTTTTACACAATTACACTATGAATAACGGAATTACATTTCAAGCAATATATGTGGTTGTCCAAGATATAGCTGTTGAGATAAAATAATGTTATGGCAAAGTGCATGCCAACATTGATTTATAAACTGACATATTTTGAATCCTATTTTTTAAAAATCAATTAAGAGTTTAAGACCATATGAAATTTGATTATAATCTTCTTTTTAAGAAAGCACAGAAAATATGCTTATTTTTAATCTTACAGCATTTGCTAATTGCATGTGTGTGAGGTTTTCAATAATTAAAAGTAAAGATTTGATCGAGAGGCTCTGTTCATTTGCTGCCCTAACAATAATACGGGTGGACTCGAGCCCGGTTCGGGCCTGGGCCCGGCCGGGCCTCAGTTCATGAAAGGGGAGGCCCGGAACTGGCCCGGGTAACCCCCGGGTGTGGGTCGGGCTGGCCTCGGTTCAATTTATATTTTTTTTGGCTTTTCCTAATTAACCCCAACCCCCCCCCCCCCCTCACCCCCAAACCACCTCAAATGGCTCAAAATACTCAGGCTAACCCAAAAACTAAAAAAATTCAAAAAATGAATAAATAAATAAATTGACCCGGGCCGGTTCACCTTTTGAGGGGTCCGAGCCCGGCCCGGAACCCCAGCGGGTCGGGCCTACCCGGACCGGTCCCTGGCCGGGCCGGCGGTTCGGGCCGGTTCAAACAGTAACCGGTTCGGGCCGGTTCTGGGGCGGGCCGCCCGGCCCGAGTCCACCCCTAAACAATAACCCTCCCTTTATACAGACACATTTTCTTATTCATAAAATCTTATTATCTCTAATTCATAATATAAGATGTATGTCATTTGGTGTGAGTTTTAAGAAAATTAAGAATGAATGAATGATATGATTGGTTTACAATTCCAAAAATAAGAGCTTCAGGTAGGCCTGTACTCGGGCCGGTGGCCCAACCCGGAACCGGCCCGAACCGGCACTGTTCCGGCCCGGTGGCCCGGTCAGTGACCGGTCAGGGTAGGCCCGACCTGCGTGGGTTCCGGTCCGGGCTCGGCCCCCCCCAAATCATGAACCGGGCCGGCTGGTTCCGGGCCTTTTTAATCTTTTTTTTTTCAATTTTTTTTCAATTTTCGGGTTGGGTTGGGTATTTTGGGCCATTTGGGGTGGTTTGGGGGTGGGGGGGTAACTAGGGAAAGGCAAAAAAAATTAACAAGGGCCCGAGGCCGGGCCCAAACCGGAACCGGGGATAACCCGGGCCGGTTCCGGCCCCCCCATTCCAGAACCGCTGGCCCGGTTGGGCCCGAACCGGCCCGAGTCCAGCCCTGGCTTCAGGTCTGCTTTCCGGATCAAGAACAAAACAAGAACATTGTGGTTATAAAGGGTGCCTCTCAAGACGCTGTTGTTGAAAGCTCGGAGGAGGATGAATCTTCGGGATATGACTCTGATCAAGAGTTGCTTGATCGACTAAGTGACCCAAATTGGAAATTAAGATCTCAAATATTGTCAAGAAGAAGTGCTCGACTTCAAGCCAAGATTTTAGCTGTAACGGGTTAAAAGTATTTGGATGGTTGGTCATGCATGGGTTGACAGGGCTATTTAGGGGGAGCAATTTTGTTCGGGTCAGTAATGTTGTGCAGGGATCTTTTTCACGGAAATTGGGAAGCTGGCCTTGAACGCTTGGATCATTTTAGATATACAGATGCTCGATGAATAGAATTTTCATTTCTTTGTTTCACTGATTCATCTTTCACTAGCTTAGTTGTTCTTTAATTTTCTTCCTTCATTAGCGCTTGTACTTTTTCATTAATTTAATAAAATCTTATTTCCACCAAAAAACGTTGAATAATAGATAAAAGGGTAAAGTAAGACATAAAAAGTTGACGAAGTACAAATTATTAAGAAAATGTTTATATTTTCAGAACTATTCAAAAATGAAAATGTATGTTACAAAATGAGACGAATGAAGTAATACTTTATTTTTAGTGGAGTAATATGTTAAGTGCGTCATTAATATTTAGTAAACGTCATTAATTTTAGTCCTTGTTGAATTTGACTCATTCATGATCATTATTAGAGATGTGACACGTGAAGATATGTCAGATTTGGGTGTAAAATCAATTTTTGATTCACAACTACTCAAAATCATAGTCGGATTATTACCAAACACATATCCTCATTGGAAAGCAAGGACAAAAGTCAGTGTTTCCCAAAAGTAACGGACAGCTAATCTGAATCTGCCTCTATTAACTCTTCTCCAGCCAGTCAATAGAGCAGCCAGTCATTTTTTCTCTCGTTGGAGTCTTCGCCCTTTCTCCCAGCCGTTTTTTCCCTCTCTGAAACAGTAAATGGCGGCCGCCGCCGGAGAAAACATGTCGCGCGAGCAGTACCTGTACATGGCTAAGCTCGCCGAGCAAGCCGAGCGCTACGAGGAGATGGTGCAGTTCATGGACAAGCTGGTCCTTAGCTCAACCCCGGCCGCCGAACTCACAATCGAAGAGCGCAACCTTCTCTCTGTGGCCTACAAAAACGTCATCGGCTCGCTCCGTGCGGCGTGGCGCATCGTCTCCTCCATCGAGCAGAAGGAGGAGTCTCGGAAGAACGAGGAGCACGTATCGCTCATTAAGGACTACCGAGGCAAGGTCGAGGCCGAACTCTCCCAGGTCTGTGCCGGGATCCTCAATCTGCTTCAATCTAACCTTGTTCCCTCTGCTAGTACCAGCGAATCGAAGGTGTTTTACCTCAAGATGAAGGGCGATTACCACCGCTACCTCGCCGAGTTCAAGGTTGGGGACGAGCGGAAGCAGGCCGCTGATGATACTATGAACTCCTACAAGGCTGCTCAGGTTGACTTATTTCATTTCAGTTCTATTTTCTTGTTTCTAGCTCCACTGGTTTATGATTGTTCAATCTAATTACAAAATTAGGGCTTTAAACTCAGCACTTGTTCATCTGTTGTTTATATGTGTTTAAGATTGCTCTTTAGGTGAGTTATATTGTAGATCGCCTTTCCTAGTTGTTGTGTCAATTAGATTTGTTTTGAGGCTTTGGATTTGAGTCCAAAGGTTGGTGCTATAAAGCATTTTTAATGTTAAAAGCGTATGCTTGCATTGATGTGTAGCGAATGGTGACTAATTGGAGCAACTAACGTTTATGGATTGAGATCCTGATGTAGTTTGGATATTAAAGTTGGTGTACATATATACTTAGTATGTACTCCGTATATTCTACAGACCACCCAAAGGAATTAGGGTTAATGATTTTGTAACTAGAAATCAATCTGTGGTGTGTGGAAGGTGTGTGGAACTATGTTTTCTTGTTTATCTCACTAGTTAATTCATCTACAAATTATGTATTTATTGTAACACATAGGGATTGGTTTTTTTGGAGTAACTTGTGGTCATGATCTGGAGTGGCATTATAGTTCATATGCCTCGTGTTAGCATTCTTTTGTGGAGTATTCTGCTATTTCTTTGCTATGCAATTTTACTATCTCTTTGACCTCTGTTTTCTTTAAATTTGCTGATATTTTATATTTCGTTATTGAAGGAAATTGCTCTGGTTGATCTTTCTTCAACACATCCGATAAGGCTTGGTCTAGCCTTGAATTTCTCAGTTTTCTACTATGAGATCCTCAACTCGTCTGACAAGGCATGTGTCATGGCAAAACAGGTAAATGCTTTATGTTCTGAACCTATTGTATCACTCTATTATAGATTTATTATTATTAATAATATTATTGTTGTGGACCCAAGCAGCTTCCTTTCCATATGCCTACATACTGTATACTATATAAAAAGACTCTCGGGTGTCCAAGTTTTATATGCCTGACATGTAATTTCTATGCTATATACTACAACCTTTGTGTGTATAGGTGTAGGGACTAGGGTGGGGGGCCTTGAAATTGATTCATGTGTAGCATATGTCTGTTGCAATTGACTTGGTGTTTTGTCCAGGCGTTTGAGGAAGCAATAGCTGAATTAGATACGCTGGGAGAGGAGTCATACAAGGACAGCACCCTCATAATGCAACTCCTACGAGACAATCTCACCCTCTGGACTTCAGATGCTCAGGTTAGTCCGCGACATAAGTGATCAGATCGCTCTCTCTCTCTCTGGAGTTGCCCTTTATATACAAGTATATTCTCTCTCAATTGTTTACATCACAGACTAGTGAGGTGTGCTTCTCTTTGCATTTTTTGTTCACTCACAGGATCAGTTGGATGACTCTTGAATCAGTTTGGGTTGTGGGCTGAATATCATGCATGGCCCCTTGCTATTTGTGTATTTTCTTCAACTCTTTGCTTGCTGTGCAAGTTGCTATCTTTCCTTTTATTGGTTAGTAATTAGTCTAATGGCGGAAACTTTTCGTCTGAACTCTAAACAGTATTGGCTGGTTGGGATTGGGAATTGAAATATGAAAGTAGTTATTTGGGAGTTTTTGGCGCTCATGTATTTAGTACCCTGTTTGGTAAGGTTTAAATTGCTTGAAGTGTTTGTTGCAAATGGCTTAGTCGGTCTAATTTGCTGGATTATAAAAAAGTCATACTCCATTTCATTGATAAAATAAAACAAAATTAGGAAAAGGACGCTAAATGTATTTGGTATATAGCACTCCGTTATTCAATTTTAGCTAACAAAGTATCTCCCACCGATCCTGCTTTTTTTCATCATTTACCATTTCAACGTGCATGGTAAAAAACCCTGTATTTGGTATTACAAAAAGCCCAGCCAATAAGTTTGATAAGTCGAAAGAAGTGATTACCAAATGGTCACATGGTAATTCGTTGGGGTATTGCTTGTGAGTTTTGAACTACGCAGGAGGTTGAGTGTTATCAGGATCTATATTTGTTGTTGAAGACTTGAAC